TTAAAAAAAAAATTTGCCGACAGTTGGAATCGATCCTCAGATAGCAAAACGAGAACAGTAGTGGCATAAGCCCTTACTACCTTAACTATCGAAACTTCGAGGGAAAGAGATCTTAAAGTCACATATGTTTATCGATAACCTCCGGGGCTTGTCCTACAGTTCATAACAATTATGATGAGGAAAAATAATTAACCAGTGGTTATAGCTGAACTGTTATTCTCAAAAAAATTGAGCTGAACATTTTTTCAAAATAATACTAGATTTCAAATTAAGTATTAACGTACGGAAAAAATAAAAAAAATGTTTTGATATCAAATTCTGTGCATATAATTATGAGCATTTAGTTTCACGATTTAATTAATCGAATGTAAGATTAATAGATAACATCCAAGCCAGAGTGAGAGAGCAAGAGTAAGTTAAATATATATAGCATATACTTGGTTGCCATCAAAAGAGAAAAACTTATGTCGTTGCTTGCTTTGGCTGTGCGCTCAGATTTATAGCTATAGTCAACAGTTCCACTCCTCTCCTCGTAGGTGCACATTCGGTATACCCCTTCTACGTATCGCCAAAATGTGCGCCTATATGCTCATTTCCACGTGAATTCACAATTCTTTTTGTAGGCGCACGCTCTTCGATACGAGTCTCGCACTCTCGAAAAATGTTCGCCTTGGTTCGATGGCTGGCCGCGGCGGGTCGCCCCGATCAGTGGAAAAAAGTTGTCTCACGCCGTAGCATTGGCGTTAGCAATCTCTCTACTCATCTCTGTTAATTAGTTTTGATTGGTGACGGCAAATTAAGGAATATTTTTTATAATTAATAAAGTTTCTTTTCGCAGTAACTTGAGCTTATTTTGGACCACCTGAATAAGTGTACTTCTTCGCTGTTAGTATTGGAGATAAATATTCATTGATGTATCTTATGGAAAATGGCCCAGTTATACCAAGACTTGTGTCTCGTGTTTCATTCTGATAGTACTAGAAAAAAAGTTTCGTAAGGTTCCGATCCACGTAAGTTACAAAAAGAGACACTTATACCACTGAAGAATACGGCAGTGATGGGTACGGAAGTGACATTTCGAGCTGTGATGTACAATACAGCGCGTGAATTAAAGATAAACAGTCTTCTACTTACAAAATATGCGTGCTTAATAAAAAATACAGGAAAAGTAACAGAACGTTGGAGTTAGGGGAAAGGGGGGGGTGTAAAGTGGCCAAAATTGTACACACAAAAACTGAAAACTAAGA